GGACAACAGAAAGGGAAGAGGCAGGAGTTTGTATCAGGATTCGGGCGGAGCGCTGCTCTGACTGTACTTTGCTGCACGCTGCTGCTCGCTCAATTGCTTGCGCCTTGGCAGAACATGCGGGAACGTGTGAACGCATTCCCCCTGGCCAGCTCAGGTGTAGCCTCTTCTCCGCCACTCCCCGAGGGACCCTGAGGCCGCCAGCACCGCACGCGAAGTACTTCATGATCCGAGCGTGTCTCCCCCAGTTGCTTCCCTCCGCGACCGCCCTGCGTCTCTTTCTGTTGCACATGCGCGCAAACACTTAACCCGCATCCCGTTCCAGTTCGACCGCGTGGTGCCCCCGCATCGATGAAACAACCAAAGAGGAGCAAGTGAGGGCGCTCCCGTCGGTCTGTCTTGGCTGGCTCCCAACCATACGCACGACCGGGAGCAGCAATGAATTATCGCACCGCTACTTCTCGGGCCGACGATCATCCGCACGATCATGTGAGGGGCTTTAGGTCATGTTCCCAGGAAGCGGTAACGGCACTCGTGGCCACGAAAGTGCATCACACGATACTACGTTGGCAGAATGTCACGGCCGGGGAGGAAGGCAGGAAGTTGGAAGAGAATAGGCGCCAGCGCACAGTTGCTGACTTAAAGTGTCTTGGAGAGGTGGGGCAACAATTATGTTCCTTCTCGTCTCCCCCATAGACCCACGTAACCCCCCAGGACTTACATCCGCGAAGGACATTCAACATGCATCAACTACTCCGCAATCTAAAAATCGCCCTCCTTGTCGTCATAACCCCGACAACCTCATGAGGACCCACAAAGCAGGCCCACGACGCCTACAATTTTCCGCGGCCATTTGGTTGCAAGTTCGCCGCATAGTTGACGGTTGCCCGGTTGCTCACAGTTCAGGCCCAAGTTCAGGAGCCATGGTGCAGCCTTGCGACCCGTCATCCGCTTTCTTCGGCTTCATGGGGGTGACCTCCGCGATCGTATTTGCCAACTTCGGAGCGGCATACGGTACTGCGAAGTCGGGCGTGGGCATCTCCTCCATGGGCATCATGCGGCCTGACCTGGTGGTGCGCTCGATCATTCCCGTGGTCATGGCTGGCGTCCTGGGCATCTACGGTCTCATCACCGCCATCATCATCAATGGCAAGATGGCACCCGCGGCAGGGTACTCTGCCTACCTCGGATACGCGCATCTCGCGGCGGGGCTCACGGTCGGCATGAGTTCCCTCGCAGCGGGCCTGGCCATCGGTATCGTGGGCGACGCCGGTGTTCGCGCCAACGCCCAGCAGCAGCGCCTGTTCGTTGGCATGATCCTCATCCTCATCTTCGCCGAGGCCCTCGGCCTGTACGGCCTGATCGTGGGGCTGGTGGTGGCGAACGCGAGCATTGACCCCAGCAAGCCGCTGTGCACCCCGTACAACCAGTGAGCATGAGCAGCGGTCTGTGCTCCAACGGCTGCGAGCGGCGGAGGAGACCTGCACGACTGCGAGGTTTTGATCGGCGACTGACTTCCACACCACGGGAGTCCAAGGCCGTTTTTGGGGTACGGCGAGCACTTGCTGAGGGCAGCGCGTCTCGTGTCTTCTCCTCTCGTATACGTCACCCTCCCATCCTTCATGTTCGTGCTCATCCATCCTCCGCCCCATCCCCTCCACGAGAACTTTTTGTCGGTACTCGTTCGCACTGCGCGCCAGCAGCAGGAGAGGTCAGGCAGGGTGACAGCCCCACCTCTGCCCCCTGTTCTCCCTGCCTCTTCTCGGGCAGATGTGAGCCTGACGCCCGCCCAGACAGATTGTTCTTGGAAGCCGTAGAGTCGAGTGCGAATACGGAACGGTGTTCGGTCCCATTGCTTGAGCAGGAAAACAGCAGTTACACCATAAACCGCTGTATAACTCCTTAAGGACTGTTGTCCCCCTGGGACACCCTCGTCCTCCTCCGTACATGCAAGAATCCACTGACCACCTCCCTGTTCCTCCCCCTGTTCCCCCCTTCTGTCGGAGCAGGCATTCGGTTATGACACGGAACCCTGAAGGTAAGAATACAAATCAGATACGACAGGTTCAAATTCGAGCAGCATAATTTGTGTTATGATATTCACGTACTTGTCAGGACGGCAGACCAATATTTTTGTGTATGCACATTTGCTGCGATGTTCCACACATCTATGTAAGCACATCTTGCTGGGTTTCTCCAGCACGTTTCGCAAACCCACGCTCTTCGTAAAAGCTCCAGGCGGCAACAGGCAATCAGCACTAAAGTGAGTGATGAGATGCATTGCAAGACACACACGAGCATGTCCTGGAGACGGTGTGGGGGGTGATCCAGGAAACCAAGCCACAGCTGTCCTTCACGGATCCAGATCTGCTAGCCATTCGGCGGTTGTATTCGCCCAGTGGGCACACTGTGCGGAGAGCGGCAACCACACACCCAATGCATTAGGGCAACTTAGCGCTCTGACGCTACGAATGCAAATTGACTCGCCATCACAATGCTCAGCAGGCGCAGTCATCAAGGCAACCTCAGTGAAGAGACAGCGCACAATGTTTCGCGAACGAGCGCGTGGGCGTGCTGAGTCCAACACACTTTTTGGACGGCATTTCGAAGAGGCATGCAGATCTGCTGAGCTCATTTCTTCTCATCAGATAGCAACCACAAGGATGCAACCCTAGTGCTCAATGCTAGCAGGTGGCTCGTTCACGCATAGAGTGCAATTCCCCCCTGCACGAGGGATTCATCTGCAAAGGAAATCGTACATCCGGGTCTCCCGCCCAAGGAGATCTTGGCAACGCCGTTCGTGAGGTAATTGAACAATCCAGGCCAGATGAAACACTTGTGGTGTCCAAAAACCCAGGTAGCGGGGCGCCAGGCCTTCTAACACTTTTTCAAAAGACCTCTGGAAGTTCTTGGAAAGAGCTTCGAAAGGAGCTTCTGGACAGCTTCCAGGCACACGTATTGGGAATCTGTTAGAAAAAGCCTTCCGGGACATGTCAAAACTGCAAGCAGGGCGCAGCGGGGATTCTCGTCCGACGCCGGAACGAGCTCCAGGGCTACCTTTGCCTGCTGGCATCTAATATGAAACAATTTTAGCTCTCAGAGAGCTCTGGGAATGATCGTCGCAATCAATCAAGCACATGTCCCAGAGCTTCTGGGATAGGCCGCACGGCATCTGGGAGAGGCCTTGGATCCTCGGGGAGAGGCACCAAAGCTTCTGGGAGAGGCCTGCACCGTCGCTGGGAGAGGTCTCAGGCCCCAGGGAGAGGCTCAAGGGCCTCTGGTGGGGGGGGCCTCAAAACCTTTTGCGGCTGGCTTCAGATCTTCTGGGGAAGGGTCCCAGTGACTGCTGGAGGGGCCCCAGAGTTCCGTGGAGAGCCTGCGGGAGAGACATCAAAGCGGTCTTCAAACCTTTCGAAGGGATCCCCAGAGCGTCTGGGAAAGGCTTCAGGGTGCCTGCGAGAGGCTTCAGCGCCCTGGGGGGGAGGATCCAGAGCTTGTGGATGAAAGAGGCCCCAGAGCCCCCTTGAGAAACATCATAGGAGCGTAGAAGGTACGAGGGCGTCACGGATTGTAGCCCCCAGGCAGCAGGCGTCGAGTCGAAAGTGATGTTATTGAGTAGATGGATATGCACAGGCGCGAGAGTTCCAAAGAAATCTTGTTCTCGCTTGATATTTCCTCATTGCTTACTCAGGGACCACGCTGGTGCCACTCAGGAAGCGCGCTCTCGCTTGCAATGTCCTCGCATTGTATCGCGTTCTCGCCTCGGCGCTGCCTGTCTCGGGGCTCCAAATCTGAAACGATGGAGCCTTTTCTCAAACGTCTGAACCTGAACTCTAAAATTCCTTACTGTGGACCCCTTCGCTCATCCGTCACCCCCCATCCTTCCTCCTCCCGTCTCCATCCCTCCCGCACCCTTTTTCTGTCTTCCCATGTTCGGGCCCTTGCTCTGCGTGAGTCTGCATGGGATTGCCCTGTCGGGGTTAACCCAGGATCTGGCAATAACGAAAGACTACGACGACGGGTTAACAGGAGAGGGAGAAGCAATTGAAATCAAAGTAGCGTGTCTTCGCGCATGCACATCAGATGAGTGTTTCCATTGCTGGGTGTGGGTCTGGCGGAGCAACCCCGAAGCGTGTGAGAGCAAGTGCAATTTGCCAAACATATTGTTGCCGACGCCGAGATAGGAGAAAGCAATCAGAGGGCCCAACAATGGTAACCTGTAGTGGATTGAATTCAGCAACACGTTCTTCCTTCATCTACCATTGCCTTCAGTCCTCACCAGATTTCTCTCCACTCCCTCCTTCCTCCTCCTCATCATCATCCTTGTCCCTCCCAGGGAGGAGGAGCAGGGGAGGAGGAGGAGGAGGAGGAGGAGGAGGAGGGGGAGGAGGGGGACGGGGACGGGGAGGGGGAGGGGCCAAACTAGGCGCGCTAGCGTCACATCTGACGTCCTACCCCTGGCCTCCCATCCCTTACATGGCGTAGATCTCCGATCTATTCGCACAGTCGGATGTCGAGCAGGGCAATGATCCCAAAAGGATACGCGATGGATGGAAAAGCATGGCGTAGAAAAGCACGGCAGAGCATAGCATGTCATAGCATGGCGTGGCATTGTGTAGTGACCGATGGAAATGAGACCAGCGCTGCAGCGGGAACATGATTTCGAAGGGTTGGAGCGCGGGAACGAACGAGGATCCGAAACAGGAACACGACTTGCAGGAACGAGGCCAACGTTGCAGCGGGAGCACGCTTTTGAATGACCGAAGCGCGGAAATGCGGGCGGCGCTGCAGCGGGAGCACTAGTTGGGAAGAACTGGAAACGACCAGATTGAAAAACGCATCGGAAAAAAACAAGCAAAGAATTCTTGTGTGAGGAGGGGACGGGACACTCTCCGGACAGAGTCAGGGGAGATAGGAGAGTAGTGTTCATATTGTGTAGTTGTACAGAGAGGGGGCTGAGGAGAAGGACAAAGGGGAGGGGGAGGAGGAGGGAGAAGGGGGAGGAGGAGGAGGATTAGGAGGAGGAGAGGAGGGAAGGAGGAAGGAGCCTTCATCCCCTCCATCTGCCTGTCTCGTCCCTCTCTCTCTCCTATCTCTTTTGCGCCTCTCTACCTGCTGTGTGATTCCTTTCTACTTTACTTTCGTTCATGATTCTTTTTATCTCTTTTCACTTCCTTCAGTTGCCTCTGTTTTTTGTCTATGATCTTTTCTTATTTTTCTGAGTATCTTTATACTTTCTCCTTTTCATTTCTCTTTTTGATAAGTTATTTTCCAACACTTCGTGTACTGTGATTATCTCGGGTTTTTGTCATGGTTCCAGCATCGAACTCGAGCAGAGAATTTCTGTTGTGGCTAGCTCGTTGCTGCACTTGCATCGCTGAAAGCCGCTGAAAGAGGAGGAGGAGGAGAGGAGGATTAGGAGAGGAGGAGGATGATGAGAGGAAGGGAGGGGGAGGAGGAGGAGGAGGCAGGAGGATGGGGAGGGAGGAGGAGGAGAGGAGGGGGAAGGGAGGAGGCGGAGGCGGAGGAGGAGGGGAGGGGGGGAGGAAATGGAGGAGGAGGAGGAGGAGGAGGAGGAGGGAGAGGAGGAGAAGGAGGAGGAGGCGGAGGAGGAAGAGGAGGAGGAGGAGGAGAGAAGGAGGAGGAGGCGAGGGAGAATGAATAGGTTGGACGATACCTTCCTTCCTCCTCCGTCCCTGGCCTAATGGCCCCCATCCCCGTGCGATCCCCGTGGTGAGACACCGTGGCCTCCAGTGATGGACCCGGACTTCTCGCGAGGTCTCCAGACGTTTGGAGTCCTGGGCCAGACGAGGAGCTCGCCGGCCGACTCTTCGAAAAGTCGCTGGCACGGGGCGCGAGTTCTCGCCGGAGGGCCTCTCGCTTCTGTGCTCGGCTGTTCTCGCACACCCCGCCCTCCCAGGCCTCCGACGTCGCGATCTCTGCCCGACGCGGGCCCCGGATATCTTAGCGGGCGGAGAACGGTATAAAATAAATTGTTCCGTCGCCGGGGGCGTTGCCCCAGGGCGGCTGGAAAGCTTATACCTGGACGCGCCACCGTAAGGGTATAAGCTTCCCAGCCGCCCTGGGACAGGCACCCCGGACAACGAAGAAGTTTGTTTTATAATGTTCTTCGCCCGTTAAATATCCCTCGACCCCACCCCCAGGATCGGCTCCTCTCCGCGGGCCGATCGTCGATAGCCCCGGGGCCCAGGAAGTGCCCTCGGGGGGGCGAGACGGCGGAGAAGCAGCGCACAAACGCCGTGCTCTGTACGGCGGGGGCGTTCGTGAAGGAATGCGCCCAGGAGGCTTCAGACCCTGGAGGGTTCCTTATCTGAGGAGGGCGGCGGTGGTATCCGTGGCCAATCCACGAGTGGCTTTGCACTGGCTTCCAGACCCTGGTATCGAAGGTTTCCTTTTCCAATGCCCTCGCAATATCTCGTTTTGTCTCTCGGCGCGTGGGCTGGCCCTGGGGGCTATCTCAGAGCCACCCCATGAGATCTAGGGCGGGGCCGCGCGCACTGGCACCCCCGCGGCAGGCGCCGACGACGGAGGAGGAGTACACGGAGCGGATCTTCCAGTGCTTCCCGCCCTGATGCTCTCAGGGGCCCTCGGGCCCTGGCATCGCAGAGAGGTCGCGACAGCTGGTTTTGCAACAGCTCTCGGCCTCCAAAAGCCGTCTCCCGCCCCGGAGGCCGTCCAAAAGCTGCTCATGGTGAAGACTTGCCGATCGCGATGCCCGGGGGCCCACGTCGCGTCGGAGGAGGGAGGGGCACACGCGCGCGCTTGCCGTCCGGAGAGCTCCGGATAGGGGCTCCGCCTCCGCCGTATCGAGAATTTGACATCTCGGCCTCGCCGGGAGCGGGCGGAAGTAAAACAGAGGGGCGGTTCCGACAGCGGATGGGGTCGACGGAGGCCAGCGGACGTTTAAAATAAAACAACACCACCACCACCAACAACAACAACAAAAATGTTCCCCAAGAGGTGTCAACAGAGTTTGGATTCAGGGCTTTCAAAGTCGGCCATCTGGGTCCAGCGAGGCACGAGGGAAGAGCGGTAACTCAAGCGCGTCCCGCCCTGGGGCCTTTGAGGCTCTCCCTCCTCCTCGTCATCCTTCTCCTCCTCCTCCTCCTCATCCTCCTCCTTACTTCCTTCCCTCCTCCCATAGTCCCCTCTTCCTCTATCATCTTCGCCCTCTTAACACAGGTAAGTGATGTTGTCAGGGCGTTTGTCTGGGGCCAACCGCCAGGGTAACGTACTGCACAGCGCGGTTCGATGTGGACACAGACACCAGAGATCGGGGACGCAGGATGTGGAAAACCAACGATATATCTTCAATTACACACACATTAGGGCGACAGGACGCGCTGTCATATATTATTTCAAGCGGCCAACAGTGCTGTATGTGCACTACGCCTCAAACACAATACTGCTCACGTGTTGAATGTCGTAGCCACTTGTTTATGTCATCGGGATGTAGACGAGGGATATCGGCAGAAGTCAACGGCGTTGTGTATATATATATATATATATGTGTGTGTGAACTATGTGCCATATACGTCTGCGGGATTGCAAACAACGGCAACCGTGGTGATGCTGTCGCGCGTCAAAGCGATTCGGAGACGCTTCGTAGCACACGCGAGCTGCACCGTTCCAGCAGGGCATGCATGCTCCGATGACTGTGCCTGGCAGCAGCCCGCAGCTCAGTTCAAGAGGAACCTTCGTCGTTGCTCGGTCATTCGTCCGGCGTTCGGCATCGGGGTAAATGGGCGCGTATATGTTGCACACTCATTATTTCATGATGTTTCCGCTTCGCATTCACTCCTCCAACATTCAGGGATGCGAGATATACGAATATGTTGCCTGCCGCATGACAGCACATCCCGCCCAAAAGGTCAGCCATGTGATTCGCATGCAATTGCCCCGATACACGTTCGCACTGCTGGTGGACGATTGCGCCGCCGCAGCAGACAGCATTCGCTGTTGATGTCGCCATTCATTATGTAGACGTCGAAGCGGGTTAGTTCTGACAGGGTGGACGATGTTCCGCAGATCTCGCTTCATTTGTTGATGTTGCTTATTGGTACCAGGTCCCCACGCAACAACACAGTATCCCGAGTGATGGTGCATTGCAAGGACAGCCCGCGAGCTTGGCATACCAGACAGTGCTTCAGTGTCGGCCCGTCGCGGGACACGACTCATACACCCGTTGTGGATTCCGTACAAATTGGTGGACATGTGGTTGACATCGCATTCTGAGTTCATCCGACAGAGCCCTATGCATATGCGGCGAAGGCGTTGTGCACTTGACTAAACGAAACGAGGCGAGGCATGCCGTGTCAGGCCCGAGAGGCCAGCCAGCAAGGACGCAGTTCGGAACACGCTAAACTATCCGCATCCGAGGTCGAGGATGAGATAAAAGTGGCACCAATTGGAAAATCGGTGTCGGTTTCTGTTCGTGTCGCGCGTGGCGAGGCGAAGTTGTGCGAGGGTGACGATGTGTCGGCGTAGCGATTACCAAGGCTGACCAAGAGTTTCTGCCCCAGTTGTTGAGTGGCCCGCCGTAGTTGCTCCACGGTTGTCTCGTGGTTGTCCCGTGGGTTGTTTTGTGGGATGTTTTTGGCTTGCCCCGTTGTTGGTTTTTGAGTTGGTTGTGACAGGCGTGTCCCGTTTATGTTCTCGTAGATGTTCCGTGGGAAATGAAAGTCACTGTGCAAATCCAGTTACAGTTGGAACGCAGTTCGATCTGTAAATCGGATAACAGACCTTGGAAGCAGAATACGATCGAAACAAAAACGCACATGGAAATTAACATGGACACGTGATTCGAAGTGCGACCTCAATCAGAAGTGAAAAGCGATGCAAATTCCCATCGGAACGTCAGTTGAGTCGCAAGTACATCTAAATTCAAATCGGGATGGAAATCGAAGTGTCCATCGAAATGTAATGCAAAAGGGCATGGGCTCGCTACATGTGAGGATGGGGGCAAAGTGTGATCGATGGGTTAATAAATCCAGAGGCAAACATATACATATTCGCATACGCACCTCTCCGAGAGAGTAGAGCTCAGAGGCAATTAATGCGTACGCGGCGTTCGCGATTTTGCTGGCCGTTTCGCTAGGGACATTCACGAAATTCTGAAGATCGGTGGGTTTCCTCACGCAGATCGTGACGTCAGGGTTCAAAACATAGGAATTTCAGCATTTTACATAAAACCTTCAAAAACACATGGGAACGTCAATGATTTCGACTCCGATTCTGAGAATGGCGGTTTCGCTTGAAAAATCCAAAAAATCAAACCCCGACGTACCCTCTGGTACCCCAGACCCCGCCTCGGAGCCTCCTGGGCGCCTCCTCAAACCTCCTGGGGTTCTGAACCTTCTGGTACCCCGGACCCCGCCTCGGAGCCTCCTGGGGGTCTCCTGAAAGCTCCTGGGGCCTCCTGCGGCCTCCTGGAGCCTCTTGGGGCCTTCTGAAGCCTCCTGGGGTCTCCTGGGGCCTCCTGAGGCCGCCTGGGGCCTCCTGGGGCCTCCTGGAGCCTCAAAACTACATGCACACGCAGAGACACAAATCACGCAACCCCTGCGCACCGTCGGGTCCCGCCACGCCGCACCGTGACCACGCTCTGCTGGCACTGTTTTGGCCCCGCCGACGGCTACCCATCCGAACCTGCCCCGACGCACCTGACCAGACGCCGACCTGGCACCCCAGGGGGCAGCCGACCGCAGTTGTCCTCTCCAAGTGGTGCAGGTCTCTCAGGCCTGCCGGGCTCGCCGTGGTTGTGCCTTTGATTCTTCCGTGCAAACAGGGCCCGTTAGGCCACGAAGGAACGCGGTTCGATATTATCGCCCTTCTCACCTAAAACAGGGCCCCTTCGTCCAATGGTTTCGCGCTTTCGTTTTTAAACAGCACGCAGTGGCCGTTAGCCATCCCTGATTTGGACCTCCGACGTCACGAATGGTCGGCTGCCTGGGCGGGGGCCACCGACGGCGGCCCCCGTTTGTTTCACCCCAGAGGCGACTGCTACAGTACTCGCTGTGGCCGACGTCGGACTTGCAGGCGGTGCTCCTTCCCTGGTGCCACTCCCTGCCCAGCCCC